GTTTAATTTAATTTTGAGAAAGGAACGCCTTCAGATGTGAGAGTGGGTGTTGTGTTCTAGGAAGTTTTTCTCTTCTCTAGTCCCTTGCATGTCCTCCCAGAGATTTGCATATACAAATATTTGCAAGCATAAGTGGATATGTACATTGTGTGTATGTGTGCATAGGATTCTTCTTACACAGTGCTAACAGACTGAATGCATCACTGAACACCTTTCCCCCCTCATTCATATATCTCAGCGCTTAGTTCAATAAAAAGGGTCTCTTTTTTCAAGATTTAGTTTTTAGGGGTTGGTGGTATGGCACAGTGGGTTAAGCTACTGCCTTGGATACTGTCATCCCGTATGAGTGCTGGTTTGAGTCCCAACTACTCAACATCCCATCCACCTTCCTGCTAATATGCCTGGGAAAGCAGTGGAAGATAACCCAAGTACTTGGGACGCTGCCTTCAGCATGGGAGACCCAGAGGGAGTCCCAGGGTCCTGCTTTGATCTTGTCCAGCCCTGTATGTTGCCACCATCTGGGGAGAGAACCGAAAGATTTTGTTGTATCTCTCTCTCTCTCTCTCAAATATGAAATGCCAAGTGACAGAGGGGGAGAGAGATTTGGGATCCACTGGTTCGCCAGGGCTGGTCCAGCCAGGTACATAATCCGGGTCTTCTATATGGGTGGCAGGGGACTCAAGCACCTGAGCCATCCTCTGCCACCTTCCAGCTGTTAGCAGGAAAACTGAATGGGAAGCCAGTTCTCAAATCTGTGCTCAGCTATGGAATGTGGGCACCCCAGGTGGCAGCTTGATCTGTGCCTATGCCTCCACATCATTTTCCTGAGTTTCTATAGACTTCATTATGGTTATTTAGCTAGTAGAGGCCTTGACCTTGACATTGGTGGGCCGTAGGATTGGAGGGTGAATGGTTGTTTTGCTTGCATGGTAAATACTGACAGAGTTGAGGTGACTCACACTTGACCTACTGAACTATCAGATGATCTCAGTGAGGGTCGACTGAAGGCAAGGCAACGGGTCTAAGCACTCGATATGCCAATGGATATGTAGAGGAGTGCATCTTCCATTTTGGTCTTCTTAAGAATCACCTGGGGAACTAATTAAAAGTGCGGCTGAGCAGGCTCCCGCCTCCTTGCCTGCCCCAGAAATTCGGATTCATCAGAGCTGGAAGAGGGGGCACAGGGGGCTTTCAGACAGACTTTCTCAAACAGTTTTCAAAAATTGAGCTCCACAAAGGAAAACAGCTTCCTGCTGACGTGCAATTCAACAGCTCATTAATTTGAGCTGTTAAAATCAGTTTATTCCTGTACTTAAAAAAAAAGATTTTATTATTATTTATTTGAAAATCAGAGTTAGAGAGAGAGAAACTCTTCCACCTGTTGATTCACTCCCCAAATGACTTCAGAGGGCCAGGGCTGAGCCAGGCCAAAGCCAGGAGAGAGGAGCTTCTTCCAGGTCTCCCACGTGAATGCAAGGACCAAGGACTTGGGCCATCCTCTGTTACTCTCCCCTTAGCAAGGAGCTAGCTCAGATTGGAGCAGCTGAGACTTGAGCTGATGCCCACATTGGATGCTGGCAGGGCAGGCAGCAGTTTAATCACAAAACTGGCCCTATTCAAACACATTTTCAGCTAAAAAGCAAACAAACAAAGCAAAACAAGAAACTTTCTCAATAAGTCCAGAAGAGTGTGTAGTGCCATCCTTGCCTCCCAGCTCATTCTTTTTCTCTGTGTTGTAGAAAACGTTCTTTTTGCCAGTAGCCACCCTCAAAGGAACATGCGGTCTCTAGCTCACTGCAGAGTGAGGAAATAGGCCCAGCCGTGGTCCACCTGGATTCGCATTATCCTGGTCAAGCTACTAGGATCTATTTTGTAGAGAGAAAAACTGAGGAAAACCACTGTCAGCCCATCGGGCTTCCTTACATTTCATTGGACTCCCCCCTCACTATCTCTCTTTCTCACTTGTTAATCACTTAAAGATCCAACCAGAATTGTGGAACAGCATGTTAAGCTGCTGCCCTGTGATACTGGCATCTCATATTGGCAAAGATCCAAGGCACTTCCCATCTAGCTCCCTGATTGTAGCCTGGGAAAGCAGTGGAAGATGGCCCAAGCCTTGGGACCCTGCACTCACACTGGGGACCTGTGGGAGCTTTTGGCTCCTGACTTTGGATCAGCTCAGCTCTGGCCATCGTGGGCTACTTGAGGAGTGAACCAGCAGATGAAAGATCTTTCTGTCTCTGTAGATCTGTCTTTCCAATAAAAAAAAAATCTTTAAAAAAAAGTAATATATGAGACCTTCATATGCTTTATTGGATTGTCTAAGTCCTTGCTGGGCTTCAAATTCCTGCTAATGAGCCGCTCTGGGAGGCAGCAGGTGACCTCCTGATCTTGGGTCCTTGACATAGTGTGAGAGACCCAGCACTCAGTTCCAACCTGGCCCAGTCCTGGCTATTGTTGGCATTTGGAGAGTGAACCAGCAGTTGGAAGATCTCTCGCTCTGTTACCTTTTCTTTTTTCTTTACTCCAAGTCTGGCCATGTTCTGCCCGCCTGGAGTAGAGACAGCCTGGAGCAGTCACATGCACTCACATGGCATTAGCACAAAGCAGCATTTGTTGGGGGAAAAAAAGAGGCCTCTGAGGTTCTGGAGTTTTTTTTTTTTACTGCCACAACATGGATAGGCCCACCCTGCCCAGCTGGCACAGGGCCCTTGGATGTGTCCCCTGACCTCTTGCAGCCACAGCTGTCCTTGTCTCTGAAAGAGGAGGCCAGGGTGCTTCCTTCAATATTGGAATTGTCCTGAAGAGTTGCTGAAAGCAGCAGACGGAGCCCTTGGTCTAGTCCTTGGTACTTGGCTGCTGTTTATCAAACACTCGCTGGAAGCTCAATCCATTCAGCACCTGGGAGAGGCCAGACACACATGATGTCCTGTTAAAGCAAATAGAACAGCAATGTCCTTTGCATTATTCACTCAGCTGAGAAGGCAAAAACAATCCAATATCCACTGATGAATGAAGGGCTAGACAGAGTGGTATGTGTGAGAATACTTCTGACAGCTCGTGCCGGCTGCTGTTGGGTCTGGCCTGCACTCCATCAGAGGGCTTGGGTTTGGTACCCGTCTCCAAATCCTGACTCCAGCTTCCGGCTAATGCAGATCCTGGGAGGAAACAGTGATGGCTTAGGCACGAGTGACAGGTACTTTTGAGTTTTTGGTCCTGGTTGCAGCCCAGCTCAGCTCAGGCTTTCTGGGCATTTGGGAAGTGAATCAGTGGATGGAAGCTATCTCTCTGTCTTTCAAATGAATATTTTAAAATTTTCTGTAAGGTGTTCACAGGAAAATGGAATTAAAATAAATGTTTTGATGCACAAAACATTGATATCCTAGCATAGGTTTTCCGTAAGATGCTATTCCCATGAACTTTTGGACAACTATGGAGCATTCCAAATGAAGGGAGTGATGACACATGTTGTAACAGGAAATCAACAAGTCAGATTGTGCAATTTCACTAGCAGGGCTAGTGAAAAGTCACATTTGTAGTGGAATAAAGGGAGTGGCGAGGAAGCAGTAGGAAGTCAGTGTTGCAGGGGTGCAGAATACAGTTCCGGAAAATGAAAGGAAATGGTGGTGATTATGGTACCGCCTCATTGTACACCTAGAACTGGTTGAAATCATATGCTGCATGTCCTTTGTATTTATTACTGTAAGAAAAAGCAAGATTGGAGCTGGCATAGTGGCTCAATTAGCTAATCCTCTACCTACAAGTGCTGGTATCCCGAATAGGTAATGGTTCATGTCCTGGATGCTCCACTTCCCATCCAGCTCCCTGCTTATGGCCTGGGGAAGCAGCAGGAGGATGGCCCAAAGCCTTGGGACCCTGCACCCGCATGGAGACTCCTGACTCCTGGCGTTGGATTGGCTCAGTTCTGACTGTTGTAGCCATTTGAGGAATGAACCAGTGGATAGAAGAAGTTTCTGTCTCTTCTCTCTGCAAATCCAATCTGCTTCTCCAATAAAAATAAATAAATCTTAAAAAAATCAAAAAGTCAGGTAGAGCTTCATTTTCCTTGAAAAAAGAAATATCACGCACATTCCTCTCTCGGGTCACTGTGTGTTGGGCAGAACTCATCTCAACGCTTTGTCATAAACTTTGATCCTTTCCTGTACTGGGATTTTTGGTTACACAGGTCACACCTGGTCATTACTAAAAAAAAAAAAAAAAAAAGCTAAAGTGCAGATTAGCAGAAAGCAACAGAGTGCACCCTGCCCCCCACCTTGGCAAGCCCAGCTGGTGTGTGGTATGTTTCATTGCCAATCTTTTCAAAGCACCTGCACATAAAATCATGCATGCCTCTGCAGATCTTCATACAGACTCACATTAAAACTTAAAATCAGGTCATGGCACACAGGCTATTCTGCTATGCAGCCTGCTTTTCCTGCTCAATAATAAATACACGGATGGCTCTCTCCACATCAATGAGTACAAACCTGCATCATAATTTCTGACTGCTGCCCAACATCACTGTGTATTTGGATGTAACATTTTTGTTGAATGAGTTTCCCATGGATGACATTTAAGTTGATCTTGTGTTTTGCTGTCATAAGTGACCTTGTGGCAAACACCGTCACCATAGGAGCTGGGGTGTTGATACACCTCACCCATCCGTCACTTTCTGGATGGAGAGGTCTTTTGCAGTTTTGAAGAGAGTCTTATGTAACCAGATGCAGAAGCTGACAGGTGGGAGTGAGATGGCAGCAAGCTGAAGGGATCAGGTCTGAGGGGGCGGGGATGGGGGATCAGCAGTGTCTGCCACACCAGGCACCAACATTCCTGGGGCTTGGCCTCCACGAGTGACCAAAATCTTTTCATGCTCAGCCACACTCCTCCTTGGCCCCAGCTATAGCTGGAAGCAGCGTTGAAAAATGTTGTTTTGTCTTGTTTTGTTTGAGGGGGTGGGTGATGCTGTGGCATAAGGGTAAAGTCTCTCCCTGTGACAACAGCCTCCCATATGGTTTCCAAGTCACGGCTGCTCCACTTCTGAGCCAGTTGCCTGCTAATGTGCCAAGGAAAGCAGTGCAGGATGACCTGAGGACTTGAGCCCTGCACCCACGTGGAAGACCTGGACAAAGCTCCTGGCTCTGGATCCTCCCAGCTCCAGCTGTTGCGGCCATTTAAGGAGTGAACCAGAAGATGGAAGATCTCTTTCTCTGTTTCTTTCTCTCTCTCTCTGAAACCTCACCTTTAAAATAAATAAATCTTTTTATTTTAAAAGTTTTTTTGAAAAAATAAAGAAGTACTTATTTGGAGGCAGAGGGACCAAGAAAGAGAGAGGTCTTTCACTGGCTGGTTTACTCTCCAAATTCCTGTTCATAGTCAGGACTGGGCCAGATCAAAGGCAGGAAACTGGAACTCAGTCTGGGTCTGCTACGTGGTGGCAGGGACCCAAGAACTTGAGCTATTACTTGCTGCCTTCTGGGGTCTACTTCAACAGAAAGCTTGAATCGGAAACGGAGCCAGGAGGCCAGAGTTGTGGCCTAGTGGGTAAGCATTTTGTGTTGGTGTTGGTTCATGTCCTGGCTGTGGTACTTCTAACCCAGCTCCCTGCTGGTAGCCTGGGAAAGGCAGTGGAGGATGACCCACAGATCTGGGCCGCTGATACACATGTGGAGGTCTGGAGGAAGCACTTGGCTCCTGGCTTTGGTGTGGTTCACCTGTAGCCACTGTGGCCACCTAGAGAGTGAACCAGAAAATGGAGGATGTGTCTCTCTGTTAACTCTGACTTTCAGGTAAGTGAATAAATGTTAAAAAAAAAAAAAAAGAAAGAAAAGGAGCCAGGGCATAAACCAGGTATGCTGACGGGATGCTCTGCAGCATGCCTGCCCCAAAGTGGCGTCTACATGTACTCATAGGCTGTGTCTTCTTGTTTACAATCTGTCTGCTGCTATCATGTAGGAGAGATGTTTGTTATTTTGTCTTGTTCCCATTTCTTTCCCCTTTGAAAGATATCCTTCCTGTTTCTATTATTATGGCAGTTACCTAGCAATTGAAGCTCACTACTGACTTGTCAAAGTGTAAAATTAATCATTGTCCTTTCCCCTGAACTCAGACACAAGCTGAAAACTCTCACCCCATTAATCAACATCCAGCTTATGGGCTATGATTGCTTTGTATTTTTACTTTATCTCTTTCTTTTTTAACCCCAAAAGACACAATCATTATACATCTTATGCTATCACTGAGTAATAGAATTACTGCCGAGTATCTTAGTTTTCACACACAGAGAAATTTTAGAGTTACTATTTCCTTATTAATTGATAGCCTAAATTGCAGTATGGGCTAAAAATACACTCTGCACCATTTCCAAGCATCACAGTATGGAGCCTGGGATACAGTTGATTTCTGGGAACATTCTGGGAGTGCTGCAAAAGCATGTGGATCAGGCTTGCTAATCATGAACTCCTCAGTGACTTTCTGCCTGCTTGTTCCCGGGGTTCCTGAGAGATGTATCAGAATTTCCCATCTCGGCAGTGGAGTTGTCCGTTTCTACCATTTTGCCTTGTGAGCATGCGCACGTGTGTGCTCCTTGTGCCTATGAGAGAAGATGCTCTTGGATCCTTGCAGGTTGAGAAGGGCTGCCTCTTCCTAGCAGACTGGACTGTTAGTGTTAGGAAATGACTTCCCATTAGGAAATATCTGGGGATGTATAGTCTATTTTCTTCTGCTACTCACCTGTCAGCTTCCTGTCACTTATGATTTGCTGTGATTTCAATGTTTGTTTCCTCCAAAATTCAGATTGAGATGGAATTGTTGCCCTCCTGAGTGGTTTAACTCTGGGCATGGGTTCATCCCCTCTGGTACTCTCTCTTTCTCTCTCTCTAACCTTTTCTGACCTCCTCCACCATGTTGTGATGTCAGAAGCACGATCTTCCCAGATACTGGCGCATTCTCTTATTTAACAGCACAGAACTGTCTATGCTAGCATTTGTACAATATGTTTCTTTCTTTTTTAAATAAATGTTTAGGGCTAGTTGAGGTGGCCCGGTGGGGTGGCCAAACCCTCACCTTGCATGTGCTAAGATCCCATATGTGCACTGGTTCATGTCCCTGCTCCTCTTCTTCCTATCCAACTCCCTGCTTGTAGCTTAGAAAAGAAAAATGGCCCAAAACCTTGGGATCCTGTACCCGTGTGGGGAATCAGGCAGAAACTCCTGGCTCCCGGCTTTGAATCGGCTCAGCTCTGACTGTTGCAGCCAGTTGGAGAGTGAATCAGCAGACGGAAGATCTTTCTTTCTCCTTTGTATAAGTTTGCCTTTCCAATAAAAAGAAGATTTTACAAAAAATTTATGTATTTGAAAGGCAGAATCACAGAAAGAGAGGGAGGGAGTTTTCATCTGTTGGTTCTTCCCCAAACAACTGTAAGGTCCAGCCGGGGTGGGTGAGGGGCGGCCGAGGAGGAGGCTGAGAAGGGTGGCTGATAAGGCCACACCAGGAGAAGGCAGGTTTTTCCTCGGCAACAGTGACCTACGGATCCACCAAGGTCGAAGGGCAACTATGACACTCTAGAAGGCACAATCCTTTGCCAACCCCACAGTTTCACAGCCCCCTAATAAAAACAACCCCTCATGACACCTGGGAGCAACTACCCTGGACCACTGTTTGTGCAGGACCAGTGAACTTCACCTGGGAGCGCTCCCAATAAAGCTTATTTTAAGCTGAATTCTATTCTGTGTGGATTTCAGGTTCTGAATATGAACTTCAACCTACCACAATGACAGGCAATAGACCAATATGAAACCAGGACCTAGGAGTTTTTTCTAGATTTTCCAGGTGGATTCAGGGGCCAAGCACCTAGGCCATGTTCTGCTGCTCTCCCAGGAGCATTAGCTGGAAGTTGGGTTGGAAGCAGAGCAACAGGGACTCAAATTGGTGCCCACATGGGATGTTGGCATCACAGGTGGCGGTTTTACCTGCTGTACCACAACACCAGTCCTAAGATCTAAAATAGATTTTCTTATACAAAATATATAGTTGGGTTTTCACTTTCCAGTCTGGCAATCTTTGACTTTTGCCTGAAATATTTATTTCTAATCTCAGAAGATATTATTATTCCCTATACATCCAATATTCATTTGAATCTTCTACATGGGACCATTTTCTGTCTAAAATCAAAGTTTTAGAATGCTTTTGGTGTGTTTGATCTGCTGGTGACAAACTCTTTCAGTTTTTTGTCTGAAAAATGTCACCTTTTTGTTGTTTTTCTCCTAGATTACTGTGCTGAAAAAAAATGCTGAAGGTGTGGATATTTGGTGAGAAATGAAGATGTCCCTTGGGACATCATCCCACATTGGAGTGCCTGGGATTCAGGCTCCACTTCCCTTCTAATTCTAGCTTCCCACCCTGGGAGACAGTGGGTGGTGGCTCACGTGCTCTGGTCCCTGCCACCCACATGGGAGAGCTGAGTGAGTGCTGGGCTCCCTTGCTTCCTTCTACTGCAGCACTGGCCATTGTGTCAATGTGGGGAGTGAACAGGTGGAGAAGAGATCTTGACCAGTCCATCTTTGTTTCTCTCTGTCTCTCAAATAAGTAAGAAAGAGGGCAAACAAGTATCCACCCAGAATTCCATTCCCAGCGAATGTACCCTTCAAGAGTGAAGACCGAGTAAAGATCTGTGATGTGGCACACATCTCTTCCATCTTGCAACTCAATCTGCTGTCTCTAGGCCAGACAACAATTCGTATGGGAAGCACAGAAGTATTGGCGTTGCTCAAGATTCATCCTTCCTTCATCTCCTCTCTGGTTTCATGCTAAATCCTGAAGGCTTAACTTCAACCCACCACTCCTTCCTTCCATCATCTCCTTCCTCCCTTCCTCCCATCATCTCCTTCCTCCCTTCCTTCCTTGCTTCCTTGCTTCCTTTTTTTAGGATTTATCTATTTTTATTGGAAAGGCAGATTTACAGAGAGCAAGAAAGGCAGAGAAAGATCTTCTAGCCTCTGGTTTACTATTCAGATGGCCACAACAGCCAAAGCTAAGCCAATCTGAAGCCAGGAGCCTCTTCTGGGTCTTCCACGTGGGTGCAGAGCCCCCAAGGACTTCGGCATCTTCTACTGTATCTCCCAGGCCAAAAGCAGGGAACTGGATGGGAAGTGGAGCAGCTAGGACACAAACCAGTGCCCATATGGGATGTTGGCTCATGGAGGTGGAGAATTAGCTAGTTGAACCATTATGCTCCCCATTTTTTTCCTTCCACCATTTCTACCACTTTGGCTCAAACTATCATTACCCTTACTCAAACTTGTAGCAATCAATATTCTCCTAATTGGTCTCTCTGCTTCCTCTTTAAGATCAAACTAGTGTGCTGGGGCAGAACCAGGCTGGACTGCAACACACATTGGTTCCAGTGGAAGACAGTACTAGAAACAGAACCAACCCAGTAATTACAACCACCAGCTGATTGGGATAATGAACTGTACTGGGCCCTGTACTTGCTAGAACATACAAGAATCTGGTTTGGGAACACCTCAGACAAAGTCTTTTTGGGGATCTCCCCAATCGAACTACTGGACTCAGAACCCTAACCACAAAAAGACAGAGGACAGAACAAGTCAATCAACTACCCCAGCCATAGGTTGGCAGTGAAAAACTGGGCAAATGGAGACTCTAAGATGGACTATGTCAATCAGTGGATTCTTCAACGATCTCATTGTTCTTGGAGTGGCAAGATTGGCAGCAATTCCTAACTGGTGAACTATCAAAACCACTTGAGCAAGACCCTCAGAGCATGCCCCACATCAGGGATCTGGGGTGGATGGGAGACTGGGTGGGGTTTCTCCCTTTATCTCCCTCTTTACTCCCAGATACATGAAGGAAACGATGTGGAAATAATAGTCTTACCCACTTTCCTGTAGCCCTTGAACTTTAGACACAACATCCCTTTATCATGCAAAGGAAGTTTTGTTTCCCTGCTTCCACCCTCCCAGATCTGCCATCCAGTCTAGAATAGAATGCTAACTCCTCACCT